AAAATGATATATATATATTGGACGAACAGATGGATGGTGGGTAGCAGTGAAATTTAAGACACTTGTCTCGTCCTATTTAGGACTCGTCATCCAGACGTGCCTGTTGACGAGTCCCAAACAGGACGAAATACGTGTCCTAGTTTCCACTGCTAGCCACCATCCATTTTTGTCTACAATGCTTGTGACTGAAGGCAATATCGAGGCAATCTGTACAGAATGCATATATGCCACATTTACATATAGACTGATCAGTTGCAGTTCTTAGAATCAATGTGAAGATTTAAATAAACGGTACAAAATATATTTGTGGATAGTTTTATTTCAAGTACTGACATTAATAGGACGCTGAATTTCTGATATTAATTTGTAACAGTGAGACATTCAGTATCATCCAGGTCTCCTCAATCTTTTATTATTTACAATGGTTCACCATTGTGAAACATTTCAATAGTTTTGTTCATATTAAGCTTCGAATGATTTGCAAACTTTCTATTTTTTCTTTCCAAATTCACATTTCATATTGATCGCTTTCATGTTACCAGATAACCAGTCACATTTACAGGAATACACAGATATAAGATAAATACCAATAAAATATGTACAACAATTATTTCAATTCCAGACATGAAAGTTATTTATGAGCATAACGAGAGCACAGTATAAATAATTTGATAGACCTTGACAAACTGTATGTAATATTGGCTGTTTTAAAATCGGACTATGAAGATTCAGTGGTTCAAATAGTGTGTAAGTAGTTAGACTATCATGGAAAACCTGGAAGCACTGGATGTCCGTTTCGTCCTAGTGTGAAACTCCCCAGCAGTGCGCATCCACGATCCCGCCCCGTAAGATTCGAATACAAGACTTATCAGTCTCTCGTGAGAATGCTTAATCATTAGACCACTGAGCCGGCATCCAACGGTGTTAATGTCTAACTTCAAGCAAAATTGAGCATCTATTGAAAAGAATCAATTATAAATATAAATGAGTTAGTTGTATTCTTAAAACTGTCATTATATATATAGCATTTCTTGTCAATTCTAATAAAATATTGTGTCATTCACATCAACAGGATTTGATTTATTAATAATTTACTTATAGAAAATATAATTGAATGTATATTGATAAATAGTCCATTTAAAAAACACATTTATTTATTCACCACAAAACAAACAAAATTTATTAATAGCAAAATTATCGTAAACAGATCAAATTGGATTAGAAAGCCAGAAGCTTTTTTCTTATTCATCTATCGGTATTATATTCCCTATAGGATTCTATCAAATTTCGTGCTCAAAATTTGTTTTCCCTATGTCAACACACTATTATTATTGCCATTATTACTATTATTATTATCACTATGATTATTGTTAGGCAAATACATTGTTTATCTCAATCACTTTCATGTGTCTAAAATCTAGGATATATCTGTTTATAAAATGAACTGTCAGTATTAAAATCACCTGAATCAAAGATATTCAATATTCTGTTTCATTTGTTATGAATGGATAGATTATATATTTGTCCTCAAACTACAAATTGTGGTAATATATAAACATCAAATTGAATATGACTATGCATCTATATTTTGGCACACATAACTCTTTAGCAATAGTCCACAAAGATAGATCCAGAAACTAAGGCATAAGTGAATTACATATTTAGTGTAAACAAAATTTAAGCTTGATGACACTACACATATATAATCATAGTAACCAAAAATAACCTTGGCATATAAAATTCATCAAAGTAAAAATGGAAACAATGAAGCAAAGAAAATCAAAAGATTCCGCAAAATGAAAAAACATTTACTTATGATTACTGTTACCAAAAAATGAAAAAAATATTTATTAATCAAGAACTCAATAATGTACGATCCTGTTAGCATATTAATCATCAGTTACATTATAACTGTAATATTCAAACACATGATATTTATAATCATTTCACTTGTGAACTTGTTTTTATATTTCTTAACATTTGTCATACATATATCTTATTTAAAACTGTTTACTTGAATTTCCTACATAAACTCATTTAGATGTCAATATAGAGTTTTGGAAAGTTTCCAGGAAGATGAATTAACGTCAAACAATTATTTTTTACAAGACCGTAATTCACCCATCTTTATGTAAAATATAGAATACCGTAAATAAATTTTCTTCCACATTATGAAAGTGAGGTCCGCCATGACACCTGAGGATTTAAGGCATATATATCCTTAATGAATTTGAAATTTAGTGTAAAGACGATTCATCATAATGCTATCACACTTAATTTCAGGCTCGAAAAAGTGATTAATTGATAAAGATTTTTGGATTTGGAAGACAAATATAAAGGACAGTAGTCACGTTTTTAACGCTAAATAATCATTCAAGAAGGCACTTGTATATTACTTGTATGATTATGGGATTATAATTCACACAATCTTTCATTAACTTTGACGAAATCTGATAAACCTCAGTAATATAAGAGTTAAGCGTTCTCGTGCGAGACCGAAGGTTCCGGGTTCGAATACCGCCTGGGGGATCGTACATACGCACCACTGAGGAGTCTCATACTGGGACGAAATGGCCGTTCAGTACTCATAGGTTTTTAATGATGGTATAACATCGATCGATTCATGATCTCGACCAACTGCCTAATCTATTTTGGTTACTGTATTTGTGTTACTTGCAAGTAGTTAAAATAAATATACTCAATATTCTGCCCATGTTCCTAAAGTTGATAAATTAGAGATTTGGTTCTGAAAATATAACCCAAGATACAAATATTTACATTTGGAACTTTACAAGTTGAATTCAATTGTAGTTTTCTGTCACCTACTTTGATAGCTGAAAATCAAAATTTGAAATAATACAACAGCTTATCATCGTTCTGTTGTAAACTAAAATGATCTAAGATTACCAGTCATGTAGCGACCTATAGATTGACAAACCAACCAGGTGTTTCAATCAAGAAAGTACATCATTGTACACGTACAATATGTGGCTCTAAATAGAACATATAAATTTATACTAAACCAATGATCTGCACTGAGTAAATCTTAGTCAACCAGTGAAAATTCTAACGCCTTTAAAATAGTATCTTAAGGTGAGCAGACGGAATGAAAATATTATAATCCGAAGTAAAAATAATGCATTTTTCTATACGAAACGGAAGACTATCCTGAGTGCAACCTTAATCTAGTTATTATGCGTTGGTGACTATTATGTTATAAAAAGTCCTTGAAGGTCAAGAAAACTGGAACTTATTATATTCTAAACTGAATATTCTTTTTCACAAGCTACAATTCCACATTTACTTATCAGCGTACATTGAGTCAAGTATTTTCAAACGTTCATTTAATATTGACGACAGCATTTAGATCTTCTCGAAGACAGAAAGCAAATAATTGTCATTAGTAAAAAGAAATCACTTACAAAACAGGAAAATTGTAAATAAAATTGTGAAATTATGTAACAGAAATTAAACAAATCTGGTATTTCTAAATCTGCAGTAAACGTTTCTTTAAGGCATGTGAATGATTATTACTTTGCCTATAAAAAAAACTTCAGCCTGAAATCACGAATATCACCTCCTTAAAACTAGGGAAATGAGAAAGCTTTATTTAAGCAATAATTAAACTATTCTATTATAGAGCGCGTTTTTTATGTGACACAAAATCATCAGTAACCAAGAACAACTATTTGTTACTAAAAGAGCTCTATTCTGCACATTACCTAGTTGTCCGTCAACTTTGAAACGACGAAAGACTCATATACGAATTTCAAAGCACCTAATTTGAACCTGTTCACATAGGTACTACAAGTAGGTTTGCTCAAAAATTAACTGTAAACTGTATGTGTTAAAATTATAAAGTCAGTTGAAATGCATTTCCAGCAAAAGTAGAATTTCATATATCTTGTAAAATATCGTTAAAATTATGGTGCAACTTATTGTGACAATGTTCCGGTCCTGATTAATTCTTGTCTGACATTCTCATTCTCATTGTTTCAACGATCTGATTTACAAACAAACACACCGATAACCTTTGATATTTTATGTCCTCACAGTTAGGTCAGGTTACGTGACAATACTGTATGTTTTGTTATCTCATTTAATCTCACTAAGCGCATTGAAGTTTTTTATAGTAGGTTGTAAAACTGAAACGTGTTTCTTGCTTTTGTTTGGCTTAAACACAAAGGTTGACATATTGCCGAATACATATCGTGATAATGGTGAATTTATTAGTTAACGTTGGGGTTTAATTTTCAGGGGAATAAAAACTCCAATATACTTATTTATAAATGAAGGTTTCCAACAAGCTTTTACATGTGAACGTTGTAAATATCCTTTGCAAAACTAAACTTAAATTTATGATTCAAACTTAAACGTTCGTCTCAATTTTAAGTACTATAACATATTATATCTAGCTATTTCTAAAATATGTGATCTCACTGAACCAAATTCGCTTTATTTTATATTTCGATCATTATAAGCCATATGAATCAGCTCAAAAACTGACCTGATCATATGTAATTACTATGATCAGAAAAAAATTACAATCACTACCCAAGAAATTGTAATCATCAAAGCAATGTACAGAATGTAAGACAGAGGTTTTATCACCAACCAAAAAAAGAATAATAGAGATGCAACTACTTGTATTGGATGTTTAGGCTTTCATACTAAAGCCAATATATTTTCTTAATTTATATATATATATATATATATATATATATATATATATATATATATATATATATATATATATATATATATATATATATATATATATATATATATATATATATACATATGCACCTTTCCAAACACCAGTTCTAAATACGTCACTTTAAACATTTCGGTATTTTCTTCATCAACAGTGAAAATATATTTCTTTCTTATTGATGATAGAAATAAAGGAATCAATCAAGTTATAATCGATTGAAATTATTTGATTATTATTTTCATTATATTTTACTACAAACATGAAAGATTCTAATAACAAATAACACACAGCGAACATATATATCATTACTTTTAACAACAACAACAAAAAAACAACTAAATAAAATAATAATTTTACCATAAATAATATAAAGTATCTTTTAATTGGATTAGAAAATTTTAAACTATTAGCAAAATATAGAACTGCATAAAATCTATTCATAATTGTACATTTACAAATGAATAAACTATAAACACTCTACAAGGCAATTATTGTTTCAGAAAAGACAAAGAGGTGATTAAAAAAAACATTACCATACATACACACATACTAAACACAGAAGAAAAAAAAGAAATAAGAGAAAGTTTACTTCAAGATTATAGTTGTATACGTATGTATTGTGGAAATAAATTCCATGAACACTTATTCATTATTCAACAATAGTACATCATTTTACTATTGTTATTATTATTGTATTGTATTCATTTTAATAAAATATCTAATCATTATGTCAACTTTAAATAAACAAAAACAACAACAGTAAAGTGAATGATAATATCACTAAATTAAATTTGAACTATAAGCAGTAATAAATAATAATTGTCAATAAATATAATAATAATTTTTTTATCTGTTATATCTTCAATTTACTAAATAAATTTAAGTGTACAAATAAAGTAATTATTAATTGAAATGAAATGCAATGAAATTCTTTTCAATTCTTCTTTTACCTTTCTTTCTTTTTTTTTACTTTTCTCTTTTTAAATGATCAATTATATTTATTATTTAATGGGGAAATTCTTTTTCTTCTATTAATTTTCACCATCTGTTTTACTTTGTTCACACCAATTCAAGTTTAAAAAAAAACCCAATCATCAATTAATTATTTACATTATAAGAGAATTGATAAAGATTATTAAATTATTAGGAAGATAATAATAATAGTAATAAAGAGATAATTAATCAAACTATTTTGTAAATTATATCATGGAATTTGTATGAAAGTAGTATATGATTATAAGTAGTAGTTGAAGTAATTAGTTTAATATGCCAACAATATGATATTTTTAAAAAATACATTCGATAATCGAATGTATGTGTAAATGAGGAGAATAATCACGTTACAGATATTATATAAAGAACAATGAAAACGTTAAACGTTTTTATTCATGAAAGATACAGAAATTCATCAACAAAACATTGAGGATACGATCATTTACGTAAAACATCTATATGAAGAAATGAATAAGAACAGACAATTGTAGTTTGTTTTTATAATTCATTATAATTGACATATACGTATTTTCTTTTTTTATTACTGTTCGAATTCTACGAATTTTGCCAATGAAGGATTATTACGTATATCATCTGGTCCCAAACTTTCAAGTAATTGAGTACGATAACGTCCCATTTCACGTTGCATAATTTCTATACATGGTCCCATAAGTCGTTCAAAACTTGATACATCCAGAACTAACATATAATGACAAAGGAAAGAAAGAGGATCTTGAGAGAATAATTCAAAAGATAAATATTTTTCAAATTCCATACAGAACGAAACGAGCAGAAAGAAAATATGAAAACTGACATATATTTTAATTAACTGACTGAGCACGGTTAAGTAATATGGTATATTTCACTTTCTAACATTTGTTAGTGCATTAATACCTACATTATATTGATGTTAAGTGATGTAGTTTAAAATTACTATTTTTAAAAATCAGCGTTTGTAAGCATATAAACTTGTGGGATCAAATGATTTTAAGCATTATCATTAGCCAACATGGCGATTAGACGTTCAGCAAATAACACATACATACATTAAGTTAAAATACATAAGCTTTAAATAATAGAACAGCCATTGATAATCATCTAACAGTTTACGATCCACTAGCTAGATTTATAAAAGAAATTGTTTGTTTAAATAAACTTTCGGGAACAGTTTTAAAGCACTCAAATGGATGTTAGAGATTTATTAGTCATGTATCTCCTTGTGAGGTAGATCTTGACAATTTTATTAGTTATGATTTATTGAACATCGAATATGCCTAAAAATGTCTAGCAAAAAAAAATACATCATACAATTAAATTACCAAAATAACATTCATTTAATGACTACTTGATAAAGCCTTGAAATTATAAACTTGTTAGACAGTAAAAATGTTTCTTCGAAATAATCAAAACATATGTAGACCAACAAGACTTGAAATATTCACGGACCTGCAAGTTTAGTTCTACCAACAGCACGAGCTGATGCTTTCCTGGGTTCATGTAAAATTAACGCCAATTCTATTTGAAAAAGATTTAAAAAAATATTATTTATTATATCCTTATCAGAAATTACATTAGTGAAGCCAAACATTTTAACAAACTGATTCTTATGAACAAGTCTTTAGAGTCAAGTAAAGACTATTCTCAAAAAACGAAACTTTAGAATTATATAAATCACAAGCTGGTTATAAGCTTCAGAAAATGAAATTTGTCAAATTATTAGCATATTATGCATCTAGTGTGAAGATATAATAAAGTTGTCCGCACAAAGTCACAACATTTAACTAATATGAATTATAAATGAATCTGTAATGAACGAAAGTTTACCTTATCAATTGAAGAAATAAAGTCCAAATAACGAAAGCTTTCTGTCTAAAATACTATTGTTATAGTGAACCTTAGAACATTTTTTGTTAGAAAGAGATCAAGTTATATAGTTATTTATAAACACATGTAGGTTCATTTTTTAAAGGATAATCATGATGACATTTCCTTAATTCATCTTTCCTCAATACCATTTGGTGTTAGTTGATTGATTGTAAAACGCATTTTGTATTATTTTGTTACGTGACTCAAGGTCATTTAATGTTACAATAAAAATTTCTTCTTTTTCAAATATGACTTCTATATGGAATACAAATTTATCCTCAGTTTCGTCTTCTCTATTAGCATGTAGATTGTTAACGTTGACTTGTTGTTGTGTGACGGGTATTCAGTCTATCACAACTCCCATTCATTAGATCCTATTAGAAAAATCCTCAATCAATTGTAAATAAAATTTACTATAGGCTAACAGAAAACCCAATATCTTAATCATTAATGTATAGATTTAACGGAATATCAGTAAATTAACTAAGCTACATTTACACACTTGTAGATATATTTAAAAAACATACAGCTACGTCTCTGAAAAGAACCACAACAATTTTAGAATAAAAACAAGCAAGATTAGTGATTAGCTGTATATTGTGATGCAAGTTATCACCAAATGTACTCTATAGATATAAGTGCTCAAACCAATTATATTGACGTTTTAATATATAACAAAAAATTATTCAGATTTTAAGAAAAGTATTAGAAAATAATCAACATTATATTGAAACATAATACAATAATATACGTACCACCAAAATAATCATTCTTATGCAGCTGTTTGAGTACGATTTCTTCTCCTTTCTATTTGCGAAAAAATTACATTATTAATGTAGTTAAACTCATTTAAAAAAAAGTAAAGACTTAGTAGGATTTTGTTTTCCATTGAAACAAAATTCTAACCTATTTGCATTTTTAGAAATATTTTCTTATTTATTTAAACTTTTTTTTAAAATAAGTAACCTATTTTTCATGATAATAACAAATACTGAATCGTTAACAAAGTGATTTTTTCCGTGTACTTCTTCATAAATAGAAGAAACAATTCACTAACGGTTTTCTAAAATATATTTTAACATTGATTGTTATTTCTGAATATCTGTCTATAAATCTTAATGATTAATCTAGTATCAATCAGAATTTTCAGGTTCTCTGAAACAGTACCCTACAGACACATATCGTATCATCATAAACCATGAATAAATGAAACTTTTTTGTCACTTAAGAAAATAGTTACTTAAATCTCCAAATCAGTTTTATGCGGCAAACAATTTAGATAGTCCTCTTGAGTGATGGTATACAATGCACCACCCTATCTAGCTGAGCTAAATTTTCATTATAATTAACCAAATCAGTTTTCTACTATAATTGTACATTGCTTAGCAACCTCATAACAGCAATGATATCACGTTTTATGATTCTGCGAAAAAAACGCTGAATATGGGGTCTCATTTGACTTAATTGGTGTAGATAATTGAATGAGTGATATAGTAAAGGATTGCTGTCGAACCTTCTGTACGATGAGATCCATCATTGAATTACCAGAACTAAGTTAAGCACCAAATACGTTTTGTGTATGGTTACCAATACTTAAATATATGAGAATATAATAAGAGATAAACTGGCATTATTTGTATATCCTTACGAAAACTCATTTATTAGCTAACAGAAATACATTTAGTACAAAATAGGAAGGTTGTAAAATGACATTATTCACTGACAAAATGTTGTGAATATGTCTTTTCAAAAATATTACTTACTTATGGAAATTTATCATTAACATTCTTAGTGTATATACACTTGTAAATCCATTAAAATTATTGAAAAACTATTATTTCAACAATAATATAAAGAAGATGAATTCAAATAAATACTACATACATAATACAACTAAACTCTACGTTAAGAATAATTTTAAATTGTGCTAGATTTTGACGAGAAAACTCCCTACTGGTTTTTCCTTTTTTTTATAATCATATACGATGTGAAAATCGTTTGTATTTCAACTAGTTACTGGTATGTCATGGATCACAGCCAATGTTCAAGACAATACTCTCTTTTATAAGTAAGTTATTATACAATCACATTTAGTAGTTCTGAATTCAAGATCAAAAACAGATATATTATCATAAACAATCTAGTCAGTGCCTAATTTATCTGAATATATCAAGTTCAATCTTTTTAGTGGTAATTACAAACTTCAAAACCAACTTTCTCAAGGTCTACACATAACATTTAGATAAACACCATACGGATGAAAATTATATATATTTCCGCACTAAAAAAATGGTTAGTTATAAAATAAAGTAGTCCACTATTCAGTCTAATCATTAAACAAAATAAGTATAAATTATTTTTCCTTAACTAATCGAAACAATTTACAAACGTTGATTTTGTGCGATAAAACGGACGGCTAAATTAATACAGCATTAGTGTATTCTTTATGCAAGATAAAACACAGTTGAACCATGTTAATTATTGGCTACTTTAGATAATCAATAATAATAATAATAATAATAATAATAATAACATGAACACAGGGTTATTCAACAAAAAGAGACTTATCATTCTGAATCATTGACAAGATAAATAGAAACCAGGAAGAAAAGACATCTTGTATTGCTGATCTCCTTGCTATATACATATAGAGAACTCATATTGTGTATGAAAATAAAACCCTTCTACATGCTCGTGACTTGTAATTTTTACAAACCACATCGTTTTTCTTTCACGTTGTTAAACCCGAATAGATTTATTTTGATGACATTTTTCCGATACGGTTACTATTTCAAATTTATTTTATCATTTCTACCGAACTTTAATACGTTTTTATGGGACATATCGTTACATTATTAACCTGTAAATAATGGCGTCATCTCAATAAGAATGGAACATTTTTGCATGACTATTTATTTTGTTAAAGCAATTGATAAGTTGTTATTATGAACAATCAAATAATAAAAATGGCGTTACACATATATCGCTAGTTATTTAAACTAGCTACATGTAGATGGTGTTAAAAGAAACAAATAATTTGTGTATTCTGAAAAAAAAATCAATCCATTAGGGAAAAAGTAAGATATGGTAATTGGAACATCGCACATTATAAAAAATTTAATTTAGTGATATTACATAAAGGACAAATTATTAATATTGATAAACAAAATAAACAAATAATGAACATATTTCTTACAGAATTCTTGGTAGAAATTACAACACATCCCTCCTCAATAAAGTACATTTCTTCTCCCGGTTCACCCTCTTGAATAATCCACGTCCCATCTTCATAGGTATGACTCCCAAGTGCATCCGCCAAATTAGTACGTTCGTATGCACTTAAACTCCCTAAAAGCGGAACTGAAGATAGCAAGTTCTCATAAAGTTGACGTTTTAAAAATGCCTGTCGCAAAACTATGTGTTGAAACGTTGTTCGATCCAAAGCCCACAATACACCATCTGTTTTCGCTATAATGGTAGCCGCTCGAGGAGTGTTATACATAAGTGCTAGTTCTCCAAAGGAACCCGATCCAGCATAACTTCCTACTGTATTCCCATTTATGATTATATCATAGTCCCCACTAAAATGAAAACAAACCAGTTTGTTCCTTATGAGCAAACAAAGTACTTTAATGTACATATTTTCTCATACATATCTAACGTAACCACAAATAGAAATAGTCTCTTTCACAAACAAATAATTTAGTCACAGAAACACTATCACTAACAACATACCAATACAATTTAAAAAACATGGTGAATCTTTACCTACACAGATTAGTAATCTAATTAACGAGAAAACATGATAATATCTAGTTACGATAAATGAATATATTTAATTAATTATAAGCTAAGTTGACAACTATATCATTAGTTTACAGAATTGATCATGTTCAGTGAATTCGGAGACATACCACATCAAAACTTTGTTAAAAGAAAAAGTAATCAATTTCTATGGTTAGATCAAAGGCATACAGAATTAAATTAATAACTGTGAATATTGTAACTGGCATTATTTCGTGTATTACATTGCGGGTAGCATAGTGTAACATTAGTAAAACCTTAGTTTCACAGGAGAATTTATCTGATAGTCAATTTTACTATTACACAACAGAAAAATGTAAACCGACGTAAATGAATTACTACTGTAATTCATCCCCAAAGCTCAGCTATAACATTAACAAATTATTTTGAGTTTAAATAAAGGATAAATATTGTAGCAGAATATCAACTAAATTTATCTAAGACGTATTTTGATATAATGTACATGTATGCTTGTTTCATTCTTAGAGATTAATACTATGGTTTTACGTTGTAAGCAGATGGGAAAAATCCAAGATAAAATAAATGAATTCATTTTACACTGCTTAAAATATTTGTTCTTTATTTATTTACGTTTATGATTATTAAGAAAGAATTTATAGAAATATTTGTGAGTTGATAATACACTAAAGCTATTACTATTATTAATACAATGAATTAAGATAAATAGACAAATCAATTCTAAACAAAATATTCAGGGGAAAATGTAAGAATTGAACAAGAACTGTGATCTATCTACAAGTATCTCAGTTGAATAACTCTACTTTTTCAGCACAGATTTGCATAATTTATTTAACTAAAAGTTATTTCAAGAATGGACTGATAATGATTAAAAGGTTTTATACTTATTGTGAGACATGAAAATCCTTAATTCAATCTGTCATGACCGTTGTTGTTACCTTGATGTGGTGGTCGGGCTTGTCTATCGTAGCGAATCAATCAAGCTATAATGGCTGGGACAATCGTTCCTCAATGTCTTACTATGCCAGACAAGTCAGTTAAAGAGCGATAAGACTAAAAGCAGCAAATCCAAGGTCTGAGGGCGAAGTCGTACTGCTGACTGTACAGAGGTGTGATGGCAGCAAAGTGTCTCCTTCAGAAAACCAGCATGACAGCGATGCTGCCTTCCCATAAGGAGGGAAGGAGTTAGAAAAGGTCGACCCTAAAAATGCACACCTCGCCTTCTCTCACGGATATCTGTCTCCGAAAGTAATATTTCAACAAGTAAAGAGCTAACACGAAAATTATCCTCAAAAATGTCGTGTGTGACCGACCTCAAGCAGTTGTCCCTTGGGCACTGTGGTTGCTCTCTCAGGTCATTAAAACCACCTTCAACCCTATTTATTTTTCAGGTACCTCCAGAAGAACCCTTCCACGGTGTTTAATTCTCTTTGGTTTCACTAAATATCTGGTTAAATACAGTTTGTGATGTAAACTAAGTCGAATCGATAAATTCTTGATTTTCATTTACGTATTCAAAACCGTTTAGAAACTTGGTCCCATAAGTCTTATATATTATTGTGGATGAACTCCAAGTTAATCCCTTTGTATTCTATCAATTACATCTATAGAATATTTTTAAACAATTAAGTAATCTAATCTAAGAAACATATACATTTCGATACAGTTCAAAATATGTACACTGATAATAGATTATATTTTATTAAGTAAGATTTACAGAAATATATACACATAAAATTAATACACATTAATTGAATCAGTCCGTTATTTATAAACATTGATAAGACAAAAAAAAGTATATTTTATAAACAACCAACAACGTTTTATACAGTACACATTATAAATTAAAATTAATGAGTTCAATTTAGACATTTTTCACCATATTTTTATTAATATTCGATCTGAACAATGATAATTATAAAGTTCATTGTGAAGTTATTTCATTTTATAAATAGGATAGTACATAATGAAACAGTTAACAGCAACAACTTTCTTCAGCCAGTTTCTAATTACACTAAACTTTGATTGAAAGTATTGAAATCTCTGGTGGAGTTTTGTTCTCTGAGAACAAAACTCCACCAAAATCATCCACTTGAGCTACAAATCTTCTCCACCATCTATTGAAATTTCTCTTCATAAATGTAATGATATTTAATTTTAATAGGCTGTATTACCTATGTGTACGATTATGAAGTCAGGACTTAACGTAAATATTCAACTGCTATCCACACTAAAGCCTAGCAAACATTAATTATTTATGTTCAGAAATACTAAACTTAACGATATCGCACAACTGATAATAAGTAGGAAATTACAAGATGGTTTTAGTTTCGTTCAGTAGAATCGTACTGATCTTATGAACTGACACAATATACTATACAGTATATTATTTTTCATTATTTATTCTCTACATTTGACAAATACTATGCTGTTATATTACCTAGCACCTTGAAAACTATCGGCTGTGTGGGTACTGATCTTTTATATTTATTATAAACATGATTATGAATAGTTATTTAAGATCTTCAAAATAACTAAAAGATGTTATTTTATCAAATACAAACCATTCGTTACACAAGCAACTTCGTCCATGTCTATCATTAAAGAAAACAGGACTCATGTTCACCTAGATCTATCCTCAAACAATTCAAAATCTTTAATAATACCTTAAATTAAGTAGTGATAAAGCTATAAATTAAGAGCGAACATAAAAACCGTGGTGTTTGAAGATATATAGCTATTAATAGTTCTTGTATTTCTTTAGAAAATTTTAATTTTATTTGCATTTTTGTATAACTGTATGTATCTTCTAAAGTGGTACGTGAATGATAAGAGAAATTTGTTGCAATATCCGCCTTACATTGGTTAACTTAAATTTCATTTTGATTAACATTACATTTCAAATGTAATAAAGTTAATCTAAAGAATTCCACTTAACCAATAGGTTATTTCATATAACAAGCTTACCTACCCAAATTCCTTTCAAAACTGAAATTTTATTATTTACTCTTAATATTTGTTAAACTTTCAGGTTAGAAAACTAATTCTTTCAGAAAAATAATAAATATTGGAATATACAACCTTATGGTAGTGTTATATTATTGTCAGTTACATCCAACTAATAATTCGTTACAACATAGACATTTAGAGATTTCTCATTGTTTAATAAACAATTTAAACATAAGAAATTAACAGTAAAACAATCTAGCTCATTTATCCTATATATATATTTTTTTCTGCTCCTTAAATCCTACTTATATTTCCAACGTCTTAGCTCATTTAATACACTCACCTTTCAATTACATAAAAATAATCACCATCTTCACCTTGATTTATAATTACTTGACCTTTAGTCACAGGCGTTTCTTTTATCGCATCGATTACTCTTCTCAGTTGAATCTATTTGTTAAATATAAAGTGAGGAAAGAAAAAAATAATTAACAATGAGGATAAACAAAAAAAGGATAATCTTATAAGATAACAAGTGAAAGAAAAACTTTAATTTTTTATAGATGAAAGGATATGTTAAAAGTTAGTAGATCATTAATTTATCCACAGGAAAAATAATTTGAAATATTTAAACCGGTTTGTTGTAAAAATTATGTTCAGCAGTATTCTGTATGAAAAATTGATATTATTTGTGGCAATAGTGAAATCCTTAAACAATTTTCTTTTGAATAAAGATTAAAATTAGAAACCAAGTAGTATATTTCATTTCATTCCGTATTTATCAGTTGAATGTTTTCACATTACAGTATGAAATTTCTACACTGGAACTAAAATCTAGTATGTATCAATTCAATGGAAAGAGTGTCATCCATTAAACTACTGATATATGATTTTTTCTAAGTTGTTCAATGGACACATTATTTGTCGTGCATTATAAAAATTGGTGTTCATTACCCAGAACTGAACTTCCAGTTATATATATATATATATATAAACGCGGAAATCAGTCCTGAATATCAACAGCGTTAACACTTCGTTTACTTACATTAACTAAATAATAATAAAACCATTGTGTGGACGCCTAACCTAGTTTTTTCAACCTTATTAGGTTAAAAAAAATGATAGTCTTAGGCTTTTAGATTCCTTTTGGTCCTTTCAGAAACTACTAGTGACAACTTAATGGGAGCTGACATGTTATACAGATCTATAAAAAAATGAAATTCCGAACCAATCAGTAACTGTATAAAACCAACACATAGATAATGGCTGTCATTTCACTCAAACCCAATGAATATACCAAAACCAAAGACGATTATCGACAAGCTAGAGACACCAGCTTTGTTGCTTTGATTGTAAATTAAATATGATTTTGCATTTGTTATATCCTAACGAAGAATACATGAATGGTAATTGCTAGGAACTATTATTAAATATATTCCTTTTGGAGTGCAGCCAAGTAACTAGATTATATGCACATTCATATTCCTTTTACCATAAGCTTTCGTTTGACCTATTGACTATTATTGTACGATTTACTATTCTTAATTTATTCCCAACCTATTAGTTACAGCATCACACTCACAGCCACTTTTAGCTCGAACTTGTATTATTGCTATTTTCTATTTTATGATATGATACGGTCTAATTTTCTTGAATATAAATTGCAACTGTCTGAAATACATTATTCATACAATGGAGGATGAGGTTGTGTTCTGGACTCAACGGGCAGAGTAAGGTAATAAGAACGACTGAGGACTCAGATTTGATCCTAGGCTGCTCGTGCTGGTTCGACACACGGCCAAGGTTATATCAGTAGGTGTTCTGATCGGCGATCTATGGTTCACGTGATATTTGACGGGGCTTAGGAGATAACAGTATTAAGGTTTACTGATTAGTAAATTTGGACTGAAGGCGGCAGTAGAATTCAGGATGAGTGTTTCTTCCTATTAAGGAGGAAATCAGAGAATTTTACAATACAAACCCAAAAATGGTTTTAAAATCCTTTTAAAGAATTCGTGGTCAACCATGATGAAGTCAACAAATTGGAGGACTAGGCTAGCTGTAATGTTCAGTAAAAAATAAAAAAATTCGTTTTCAAACAAGAGATGTTTTGCTCAACCATAGTTCTATTTCCACGAATGAATAACTTTAAATCGCATAGTTCTTGCTTTGATCTCATTTTCTTAAACATATTTTTCTCATCTTCATTTTCTAAAAAGCCAATTATGTGAAACGTAGATTACTGCTAACAAGCATTTAAACGCTATGTCAAGTATGTTTCTGCTCCAATTACTTAGAAAGCTATTAAAAATTAATGGTTTCTAATATAGTACATTTCTGACTTGTCCAAACTAATTAACATCAAATAATTAGTATGACTTCATCATCAAATATACTGTTTATAATTCCGGCTACAAGAAGTATAAAAATGTTTGTAGGTATGTTATACAAACGACATAAGTGTTTTGCTCAACCACATACATGTTGTCAAGCTTACCTAAAAAAATCCTGTTATATATATATATATATATATATATATATATATATATATATATATATATATATATATATATATTCCAGTGCTTTAAGTTTTCATGTCGTTACCTTAATTTTCTCAGGTTTTCTGATTTTGTGCTTTATACTTCTCCCATATTTTCATTATAGGTAGTTTTATTTCTTATAATTCACTAGAAATGAACATATTACACTAGAAATTCACCAAGTTTATTCATCCTATTGCCGTTAAAACTTTCCATGGGATCCTATTCTACCTAATGGTGACCATTAATTACCTGACTGAAAAATCGCACCGTAACCTTTGACTACATAGTTGTATCTTTCGTTAACTTTATTCGTCAATAATTCTTATACTAAATAATTATCGAGATGAATCATTTCTTAGTTATCTTACTCACTAGCACTATGTATTTAATAAATTGTAATAAGTAAACAAACCAAATTATGAAAATAGTCATGTCATTCAAAGAATATTGTACAGCCTTTGAAAATGGAATCGTATTACAGATAATTTAAGTTTACGAAGTACTTATCAAATATAAATTATTGTGAGTGGAATACAGTCTTGATTAAAGGTGAATAAGTGATAATAGTCATGAGTTTAAGTTGTTTTTTTCCATAATTAGTCAAGTGCAGAAGAAAGGTAAGAAATCTTAAGTTTCGAATATGATTGTTAACTATACCTAGAGCCCCCCAGGACTACTGTCGGTCCCGATAACGGGTAAATGACGATGGTTGAGAGTAGGGTTAGTAACCCATTACTTAAAATAAACCTAGCCTAAAAAACGCTGGCCAGAAAAAATAATTTACACCAGTCAAACTGTCCTGTGAGTTAAAGGGTTTTCACATAGAACAGTTATGACGACTCATCATAAAAGCCAAGGTTCTTCTTAAGTCGCGGAGCCAATGCCCCTTCTAATAAATACAACGCCAATTATTATGGGTAAATGAAATGTTTGGAAAACGCAAGGAACTAAAAGGTTCATTCAAATAGTGGCGGAAATAAGATGCAACTTGGCTCGCCTTGAAATAGGTGATACACACTGAACACAATCTGGACAGAAAAAGCCAACTTCAGGAGAGCTGTAATTGTACTCTGAACACGGGGAAGAAAGTTCTTGTTTTACGCAAAGCATTGCATTGGTACTCTTCAAAGACACATGGAAAAAGCACTTATAGAACAAGAAATCTCATCTTAGCATTCTTTAAAGCTAAAAAAAAATGAAAGGATTACAATGAATATCATCCAGGGCTACGCTGCCACTTACAATAACAGCGAAAATGATGGAGAACAGTTTCTTGGCAGGCAGTAGTTCATGTCAAAAAGACACTCAGGAAAACACCTGACTATTCTGATGGAGGATATAGATGCCAAAGTCGGCATAGACAACACTGGATATCAATGCACCAAGGGGTGGCACAAGCTGGGAGAAAGAAACGGGAATATTGTTTGTCTGGTAGTTCTGTAAGCTTTAAACAATAATGTCATAGGCGGCAGCACATACCCTCATAAAGGCTGCCTACTCTTATTTCCTATTGTCAATTGGATTATGGTGACCCCCAAACTTTAGGAGAAGCAGCAAACACAGAAGAGACACTTTAGACACAACAGAGTGACTTGGTCTTTGCAGATAGCTTAACCGTGTTATAGCGTACGTAGCTACACATACATACGAAGAATTCAAGTGTAGGAGCGGCTTCAGGAGCATTAGGGTTCAGCATATACAACAATCAGAACCAACCAAATCACATTTGATGGTGAACTCTGAAAGAGATGGAACCCTTAATGTAATTGGGCAGTACCGCTGATAAACAAAGAGTACCTGATGTGGCTATGATGGTATAAATCAATATAACAAAGACAATATTTCTACAAAAGAATAATATATGAAACTCAAAAGAACTGCCAGCCAACACCAAATTTAGAATTTTCAAAATTAACGTTAAAATAGTTTTATTGCAGAGGTCTGAAATTCAAAGGACTATCATCACTGTTACTATAAAAATACAGGTACTCATTAATAGCTAATTACACGAGGTATTCCAGATTTATTGGCCAAAGATCACCAGTGGTAATATACTGTTGTAGCAGCTACCAGTTGATGAGGAAATCGGGAACAGACGATGGAGTTGGATAGAACATACTTTGCGCGAACCACGCAAGTGCATTTTAAGGCGAGTTACAATTTAGAATCTTCGAGGCATACCAAAGAATACAAAGTGCCGATAACCTGAGGCAGACATTAAGGCCATAAATAGCACTTGACTTTCAGACGAATACTTTAATAGTGTTTGGAAATACTCACTGTGCCACTTCAAATATTAAAACAATTTTTTTATAAGTTTAACTTGAAATTAACTAAGTGGATGTATCAGAATAATTGTTTTCATGTTTATTGTACAACAATTAAAAATTTGAGAAATCCTACTGTTAGCAATTCACCTCACTGAAAATCAGCATTGTCATAAAATCGTAACCAAAAATTGAATTGCACGAACAAACTTCCTATAACTCACCTCATCCAATGAACGGAAAATGAAAATTGGTTTAACAACTGATACTAAACGAAGTTTTTGTGCTACAGACTTTGGATGAACAACAGGTTCCAAATCAGTTATCGTGGCTGGATTAAAACTTTCAGCTGCCACTAAAAAGTGGGAAAAATCAGGAGGAATAGGTTACTTATCAACTAAATTCACAGTATACTGTTAGTGAACCTCGTTCCAAACAAAACAGCTAACTAAGTAAAACAATCTGAAACGGTATCATTCAATGCATCAAATTCTTGATGAATTCGATAATCTTAAAGTAATATAAAACTATGTATAAAAATCATAAATTCTCTAAATTCCTTTGACGCTAAAATAGTTAATTAGTTTCGATCTGATTAGAAGAATATAATTTAAGTTAAATACAACGACAAAATCGACAACAGAACGGCGTTCGATTGTAGTATCCTTAATAGTACATATGGAGATGGACATATATTATATAAATACATAGTGATATCATTGATAATCTGACACATTATTCCTTTGTATTTTAAGCAAACATTTTAAAACATAGTCTCAGAAACCAAAATGCTTGACTATTAACTCATCCTTACTTTATTATTCCCAATTTCATTTTCTATGGATGACAAAGTTCCAGATACAATCCGGATAAATACATGACTTAAGGTTTAATATAAGTATGCATACAAATCTTGGCAGAATAATGATGCGTATTAGAAAAGTATGATAATTACGTATCAGCTAACGAAAGCTACTAGAAAAATAAAAGTCACATTTTCATTTACGTAAAGTACAGGTCCATACAATAGAAATAGAACAAAGGTATCGAGATCGAAAGTCCTGAGTTCGAGTCCCGCATGCGGGGTCGTGGATGCACAATGCTGAATCCTATACTAGAACAAAACGGCAGCCAGGTGCCCCTAGGTCTCCAATGGTGGTCTAACAATGATCAGTTGGAGATTTATCGCAATTAAAACTCGACAATCCCCACAACCCTATACTGATAACTTCAACATAATTGTAGCATATTTAAATTCAGCCGTGTTACTTTAAACAAATTGTTAACAAGTTCAAAAGCACACTTTTGGTAACGAGTAAAATCAAAGTAGGTGTTCATTTTGCAAAACGTACAATATAAATTGAAATAACACTTAGTATTATTTCACTAACTTTGGCAATGATTGATAATAAAAAAACATGACTTTATGCAGCCCATTGTAATACCTTTTTTCCTCCAAGAAACACTAGATTATTATTACTAAAAGTGGAGTTTACGACTACTATTTAACTGAAAGTCAGCTTTAGTTAAAGAAATGGTATCAACTTAAAAGTTATTGAAAACTAGATAACACTGAAGTTATTTTGCCTGTGTTCAGGACTCCTTAGAAATATGCTCTCCTGACAAAACAAAATCTTTTAAGCTTTAGATTGAGCATATTATTCGTAGACTATTGAATACAAATTCAGTTGTTCACACTAACGACTTCAGTCTATTCGAGATAATGCACAAAAGACCACTAATAAATCTAGTTATATTTATCTCAATCCGATATGATTAAAATTCACAAGTTACAGGTGTTTCATGGAACTAATGAAAATTCAAATGAATTTCAACAGTTCTGAAGTTAATATTATTCAATGATGAAGATGAATGTTTACGTAAATATATATTTATATATTTACCTGATTGACGAGTCGTATTTTAGGTTATTTACTACTAAAACAGCATCATTTTGAAGTAAATAAAATTTCGAATAAAATGATGTCAGCGTATAATTAATAATACATAAAAAAAACACTTTAATTATAACTACTAACTGTTACGATTTTCTATTTGATCTCACCAAAGATCTAAGGGAAATAAATTCATGATCAAGTTATATTTACTTTTGGAGTGACTAAAAAGTTATATTATCCTATGACATTTATAAATACTGATGTAATTGATTACAAGACAAAAAAATTTTCAAGTCATTTCTATTTTCAGTATGGGGATTTGTGGAGATTGTAGAAATTCCACGGTTGAATTCAAGAGTCAATATGAGCTAAATCACCATCGAAAACCTGGCAGCACTGGATGGCCATTTCGTCCTAGTATGGGACTCCTCAGCAGTGCGCACACACGATCTCTTAACCTCTAGACCAATGAAACAGCATCCAAATTTGTCAATATCTAACTTCATTTTTATTTCCGTGAATACATCTATCTGGGAATATTATATCAGTTGAATAATAATGTTAACAATATTACAGTTTTATTTCAATGAATAATTTGAAAGTTTGATGCTAAAATGTAGTCCAGTAAGTTAAGTGTTCGAGCGCCAGACTGAAGGCCTTGAGTTCGAATCCCATGAGTGGGATCGTGGATGCGCACTGCTGAGGAGGCCCACAATAGGACGAAACGGTCGTTCAGTGATTCCAGGTTTCTAACGGCGGTTTAACATCAATCGGTTCATGATCTCAATCAAAAACTTAATAATCTCCACAATCCCTAGACTGATAAAATAGAAATATTGACTTAAAAATCTCAATGTAATTAATAGAAAAGTTTATTACCCAAATCAATGGGATTTAATCCATTAAATTAAAAATATATCTGTCTAACTCTCTGTAGGTAGTAGTAGTAGTAGCCTAGTTGGTAATATGTATAGACTATCCGATTAATCTAAAACTAATGATATACTTTATTATGCAATGAGATTTTTTAAATAAATTAAACAAATTTAATAATTAGGGTGTTGAACTCTTTTAGAACAAATCAAACCTACTTTCATCTTAATAAGTTTATTATATTTATTGATTTTCTGTTCGTATCTTACTGAATGTTGTTAGCTTTTTTTTCAATCTAACAACATGGTTTTTAAAATGAAAATTTCATTCATGATTTTCATTAGACAGTCCTACGTTGTAGCTGACTGACTGACTGACTTTCATTAGATAGTTTTTGGGTGTTTCTTAATTTGAGAAATTATAATTATAACATGAGACTTCATTTTATATTTACGTCAAGTTGAAATTGACTTATCAGACATCTACTTTCAACAGAGTATTTGTACAAACATATTTTGTAAATTGATTTGTTGATTGTCGCTTTTAAATTACAGAAAAAAGGTCAAGTATAAACAAGTCCTAATATGATTCATGTAAAGTCAGACAAATATGTCAATATGTAGTGATTCTTTTTTTTCTATATGAAGCTAAGCAGCTAGATAAAACCGTATTTCTATTTTAATATAATAATCAATGAGATTCAATGTATTAAATCTACGGGTATTATCTACTGGGCTACGAATTTACAATGGTTGTCTCTTAATATATATATATATATATATATATATATATATATATATATATATATATATATATATATATATATATATATATATATATATATATATGGAATTACTACTTTAAGCTTTAAGTAGTAATTCACATTCATGGGCGTTATAGCTTCATGTTGTGTACCACAAAACTAGTCATTTCTTTTTAATACGATTAAATAGTTGTTTGCCATTATACTTTCTCTGAACAATGGTATGTACAAAATGAATGTTATATTGGTTTATTGCATTTTGTGTACATTTTATTTAAAAATACTATGTATTGTTATTTTGATTTACATTATATATGGGAATGAAAATTCACAATTATAATAATGGTTTGCTAGCTGGTATATATAGGCAAAGTACATATGTTATCATCTTAAATTAAAGCTTTACATTGATTACTTGTGATACCTATCTATTCTGCTAACGTTTGCTTATTAACATATATCCATATCTGTTAATTAAGAGATAACCATTGTAAATTCGTAGCCCAGTAGATAATACCCGTAGATTTAATACATTGAATCTCATTGATTATTATATTAAAATAGAAATACGGTTTTATCTAGCTGCTTAGCTTCATATAGAAAAAAAAGAATCACTACATATTGACATATTTGTCTGACTTTACATGAATCATATTGGGATTTGTTTATACTTGACCTTTTTTCTGTAATTTAAAAGCGACAATAAACAAATCAATTTACAAAATATGTTTGTACAAATACTCTGTTGAAAGTAGATGTCTGATAAGTCAATTTCAACTTGACGTAAATATAAAATGAAGTCTCATGTTATAATTATAATTTTTAAAATAAAAATGATGTAAAGAACGAATATTTTTCACCAAGGTAAGGAAAGATTAACAACCATCTCCTTTGTAAACATAAATCAGGTTTCTGACTCCTTATAGAGATTGCTTTAGCAAACTTCAAAAAACTGGAGCTTGATTGTTTATTAACTACCTTGAAAGATTACATGGTATCAACCTGATGTCCTGTATCCAAGAGATGTTCAGTAATTGCGTTGTTCAAAGTAGTTCACTATCTCTCTCTTGTTCGGTTTTTTTGGAACAAACAGTCTAATACTGGGTTTCATTTCGTTATCTTTGTTGAGAATCATTGAGACGCGAAAAAATATATATAACTCAATTTTGAACAAGATAAAGATGAACTTTCTTTGTTTCACTGTAAACTACTCATGAAAGACAATGGAAAGATTATTTTCATATGTGACCTTTATTTTCATGATCTTTTGAAAAGTACTTTTCTCATTTGATTAGTAAAAATGAAATAAACATTGATAAACAGAAAATTTAGTTGAATAAACCAACAACGATGGTGAAGCTAAGTAACATTTGATGAATAAAGTCTAGGATTTAAAATAAATAATATAAGAAACAATGAAGTCTTTTACAACAGATAGTTTATTATTGACTGATCACCGAGTAGGGACCAATGTCAGGTATATCAAGTCCTTCTTAGTGATGATCAAAGTCTAGGTGACGAGGGGTCGAATTCGCTAAGGAGCACCAATTCCCCCAAGATTACATGTACATGTTGCTGACATGTGTCAACAGCACGAAACTTAGGTCCAGGGTATTCTGTAGGCTAACTTCAACCACCACCTTATAAGACAATACTTATTTGAGACATATAACAACTAGGTAACTTGTATCACAAAGTCTATTTTATAAAATGCCTAATAACCATAATTTGATTTATGAGTTTTAAAACGAAAATAAGTTGTCCTATTCAAGTTAAATTTATGAAAGTGAACGTCCAATGAAATTAGTTCCCTTGATAAACTTTTGTAAAGCAAAAATGAATATAGGAGGTATTTACAATTATTTCTTTTCAATAGTGAACCAAATGGACCAAAATGAACGAAATGTTACATGTAAAATTACAGTTGTAAAACATTTCATTCATTTAGTTGACTTAGAGCACATGAAATGAATTCACTTCATTTCACAATGTTCGTTATTCTTGTTCTGTATGCTGAAGTATTCAATCAACTTTTACACATGAAATACTTTTTAAATGAAATAAATACTAACAAATAAAAAATTACCGAAAAATTTACAATGCCTTATAAAACGTTCTAGAACAGGATGGGATTCTCTTCATAGTATAGGCACCCTCAATGACTATTAACCTCTGAGGCATACGGTACTTCAAGGCTAGACAACAAGAAAGGATACAACAGATGAGAATCCTAACTTTTGTTGAGATTAATTTTAATGAACATAAATGTCCACTGTTTATACTTACTCCCCTAATATATATATATATATATATATATATATATATATATATATATATATATATATATATATATATATATCAGCAGATAAAGTTTGGTTTCATAACTTGATTAAGAGATTTTAAAGATGAACTGACATATGACAATCAAAATTATTGATTCATAAGTTCTTTTATTTGATTGAACGATTATTCATGAATTGATGAAATATCAATAAAATATTCCCATCTTGGTTGAATAATTTCATAATAATGAAAAGTTTACTTTTCAACTAGCTTGTCGGTGATTTTATCCTCTGAAATCTTCCAAATTTAAATGAGCAATTTGCTGATGTGGTACTTTAGTAAAATAGAAAATAACCATCAGATATTTTGGTATTTTAATCGTGTTACACTGGCATGTACTACATTTTTTCATAAAACCCAACTATTTCAGCTGTTCTTAAAACCATGATATAATGTTTTTAGGTGATAGACGTCATCTAGAAGGTATACTAATCAAGATGGGAAAAGTCTAATTAGGGTCATGTTTCAGAAGAAGTGAATACGGACAAGACAAAATTCTTTTAAAAAATCCAACTTACCACTGTGTCGACGTGCACCAATATAGCCTACTCGATCTGCAAATAAATAACATCAAAACAGATGGGACTTATTTGCAATTTATTTAATATGCTGGTAAATACAAATAGATATTTAAAGTAAATTACAACATATGGAAAAATTAAAAACACATGGTTTAGCAACATAATTTCATGTATGTACATGACAAATAGCAACGACATCAACACATCAATATTTACAGAGTATGAAATATTTGTTCAACACCACTTTCAAAGCTCATAAACCAATTATGATATACAACAACAAATAATAACATCTTAAAACACAACGGTTACTGTTAATATATCAGAAAATACTCAGTGTGATGAGATCATTGATTGGAAACACTTGATTACAAAGAGTGGATGCATTTAAATTAACTTTATCTATATAAACTGCGAAACGACCATGTTCCGTATTCTACTGCTAACACTGAAAATTATTGTTTAAGTGATTAATAAGCTAACTGATTCATTTGAAATTAGGAGAAAAAGTCAAACAACCAGAAACTAGACAACAAAACATTTTTTTATCGTCTAATAATCAAATTTAAAGGAGAAATTCATCTATACTTTAATTTGCTTCCAACCCTTTTTTGACATGGTTTAACTTTGATTACTTTAAAATATAACAAAGTTTTATCAATATCTTGAGAAGAGGCTTAAGTATTGTGATATGTTCTTTTCGAGAATCTACATACTTAGGAAAAAATAAGAATCAGTAAAGTCTTCTTGAAAGCAATAAAAGTATTTGTTTTACAAATGGTCAGAGGTGAATGAATGTCTTTGGTGAGACAAGAAGGTTGGAACTTCCATATGATTCACGAATTTGAATTATTTTACTGCCTTCGCTAATGTAGTCACTATTTTATTATAAAACATGATGTAAACGCATACACAAAAAGTCAAAATGGTAAACGTCAGTTATTATATTTTTAGATTGCAAGACAAAAGTTTTAAAGGTATGATCATTTTTATCTATTCACTGCTATTTAATGACAAAGTCTGATTAACTCGACTGTTATTTATACGGCCTATGAAAACCACCTGGGACATATGAATAAGCATTTCTTAACATTTCAATATAACAGAATTTTTGTTAATTCACTAACTTTTACTTTAATTGAATTTTATTCGTTTGACCTTTATTAATTTTCATATAAAAATGCCTTGACAAGTATATGTGTGACCAGATTGTTCGAAATGTATAGCGCAAATACATCACATTTTTCAGATCAACTACGTCTTCTCATTGTTTTAATTGAATTTGTTGTATAGATTAGTCCCTTGCAAAGTTGTTGAGGATACATCCTAATATCGAAGCATTCACACGTGTAAACAATTTTTAATAAAGTAGCATGAAAAGCAACAAAATTCAGGACACGTATTTCCTACATCACTCAGTACCTTTTGTAGGCTATATAATCATATCTAACAAAAATGTGATGAATACTACTTATACTAACAGATGTAAGTAGTATACAATAGCAATCAGATATGGAATACATGTCAGAAGGAAAGAAACAGTGAGTAATTGTAATAAAAATAGAATTTAAAAAATCATGAAGCTTGTAAAGGACAACTGACGGAAGATGTGTAAATCATGTATTGAATGTGTGGTTTTCATATTTTACCAAAGCACTCTGTGATTTTGCGTTAAACATGAAATTGAGTTTTTTCCGTCTGAATTCTCGTACACTACACATATACTTATCAACTCAAATAAATTAACTTTGATGCTTAAACACTAATTACTGGAACCTTATCTCAGTTGAAACATGAAAGCCGATGTATTAGATGGTAAAACCAAATAAAAATATGTTCTCAATTCTAGTAAAACTCTTTAGCTTGTACGCTAGGTAGTTATTTAGTTATAGCTTAAGGATTAAATTTTCAGTTAGATCCATACAACTAAGTCAGTCGGTTAAACAAAATCTGTCTTAGTATTTATCGAAATTGTCATTCGTAAAAGAAGTTTGGCCTTCCATTTTTAAATACATAAGTTGGGAAAGCCTGTTTTTGGTCTAATAGTTAAACCCACTAACACAGCCATACAGCATACAACTATTGAATTCATGACATAGACATTCCCGATCTCTTAATCAGCTCATATCACAAAATACCCCATAGAGATCGCAATGTTGTATTGATCTGTTATAGTAGTACAAAATAAAAATGCATATTCTATACGATTTAACTAAAAACAATCAGGTGCTCCAATATAACACAAAATCCATTTAGAATCGATTTGCACCCCATATACTAACCGTAGATTCAATATTCTAGTCTTATATTCAAAAGAGCGAGTAAATAAAATGCCCGATTTTAAAACTAACCTTTCATTGTTTAAAATATGAATGTCATTTGAGGTCATGGTAAATTTAAGGTCATATATATATATATATATATATATATATATATATATATATATATATATATATATATATATATATATATATATATATATATTGTTAAAGTGAACAGATACAAAAAAGGACAGTCCAAATAAATATAAACTCGAATTAACTCAACAAGAGTTTGACCAACTATTTGTTACCAATCTACATGGATCATCGGAAAAAAACAATATTAGAAATATTTTTGTGAATATCATGAAAATTGAGCACGATTTTTCAATTGTGTGAACTGAAATAAACGAAACCAACGACCCAATGAAAGAATTTTCATATCAGATAAGTTGTTATGCATATGGATAATACTCCCAAAAGTGGTAATTTCTAGAGAGAAAAATAAAACTAACAGCATTCGTGAACTTTACATCAAGTGATATGTCTTGACTATAGGTTACCTTGTTATTCAGAGACCCCCAAGTATATGATTTTTCAACAAATGTTAGACATTAAAATTATGGATCGATCTATGTAAGACAAACATTTAAGACCTGGAAGCATTGAAGGACCGTTCCGTCCTAGTATGGGACTCTTCAGCAGTCAACATTCACGACCCTCATGTTGGAGTAGAACTCAGGACATTCAGTCCCGCGTGAGGATGCTTGACCTCCAGACCATTGAGCCGGGATCCAAAGGTAATAATCTCTAACTTCAATCAATCCATGAAATTGCTCTAACACCATATTCGCGCGCAAGACCGAATGCCCTGGACTCGATTCCTGTGTGCAGAATAGTGGATGTGCAAGGTTGAACAGTTGCGTACTAGATCGAAGTAGCACTCTGGTGCTTTCAGGTTTTAAATGTTGGTCTTACATTGATTGGTTCATACTTTTTTATGAAACCCGACAATCTCCATAGCCGTATATTTACAATAGAACATTAGGTTTCGATTCGATGAAACAGATTTAAACACAATTAATTTCACAATAGTTTCAGTTCATAAACAAACAAAAAAACGAAAACGAAAAAGTTATAAACTGACAACAATGCTCAACATGATAAAGTAAGTGATCTAAATTCAGTTATAGTTTATGTGAAATGGACAATGTATTAATTTATAAAAATTATTACAAGATTGATTCAATGTTTAACTTCGCATTCATCCTAACCTTCGTAAACTACTATGAGTAGCACAAATTGTAAATCAAGTGTGTAAATAAATGTTTTCACCTTTGAAATTTAATATAAAAGTAAAATTTAGGGAATTAATAGCACATTAACAAAATTGAGAAATTAGATAAAAGAGATTAAATTACAAAAGTATTTGTGAATTTTATTTAACAGTTAGGTATATATTTTACGACAAGCTACTTTGCAAGATATACCTAAACGGAAGTTTCATACATCAAACAATTAAGAATTGTAAAAATATTTGTAGGAAATTAATACGTGCGTCCCATGGGCATTGTTTTATGCGATAGCGAAAAACATTAATGAAGCTTACAGTAACGCAGAAAATGGTACAGAACGGACTTTCTTCATTTGTTCAATGAAGACAATGTAAATATATTTAAGTAATTCCTAGAAATTATATTTTATACCAACAACTCTAGTTTATGATTAAGATCAAGTTACCGACAGACATGCAATCTCATATAACAGTTCACCAGTTGAAGTTATTACCTATCTGAACATTATAACACAAACACTGGAAAAATAACACAAAGTATTGCATCAAAAGAAACAATGATAGGGAATTGAAGCCCTACAAGATAGGACATTAAAATTGTTTTACGGGTGATATGCACATTTTAATTTATTCAGTCAGATTATCTTCAACTAGCTAAGTACAAATAATATTAAATTCAAACTAATCTTTTAAACAAAATGTTTAGGGGAGTAAGATAATCAAGTGCAGTTTCATGAAAGGATTTCTTTCCAACGAACTGTATGTATATGAAATTTAAGGCTTCGTTCCGTGTAGAAATGTGAACAGTGGATAAATATGATGACGTAATAAAAATGAATACAATATCAGATCATATAAAAAGCAATTAATAACAGTGTATGTGAGTGAAGAAGAGATGTAAAACCTACAATTTAACATTAGATTATAATGTAAATTCAGTAAAACAATCAAATTAATTTTTATCTCAGTATTTAAAGGTATTAGAAAGATTTAGTGAAATGATATTGAAAACCACTATGAGTAACAATAATATGTTACCGTCGAAATAAATACAAAGGTAAAACATACTTCTCTTGTATACAAATTTTAGGCTCTATAACATCCAGATAACCGAAATTTTTATCACTTTAAGAAAGGGAAAAACGGAAGGATCTTGGTAAATTTAAACAGACTAAGTACATAGACTGAAAACAAATGTAGTTTATTTGAGTAATCGTAGTAAATTAATTGTTTTAATGTTTGAACTCCTAACCGCTTTCTTTTTAGCTTAACAGAACCAGGCTGAATTGAGTTCCCGTAGGCTTTTCGAAAGTGAATTTTGGATATGTATCAATGCTTCGGAAAATGGACTCACTAAACAATATTACAATATTAGGACACATAAGAGGCTGTAATCTGAATTTTAGAAAGAAACATTTACGTACACCTTGTATTGTTAAATAAGGTTAATGTATGAGGAAGCAAAAAGGTGTCTTGCT